ACGCACCACCATGCCCAGCTAATTTTTTGTATTTTTAGTAGAGACGGAGTTTCACCATGTTGACCAGGATGGTCTTGATCTCTTGACCTCATGATCCACCCGCCTCGGCCTCCCGAAGTGCTGGGATTACAGGCTTGAGCCACCGCGCCCGGCCGAAAAAAACTTTTAAGAACTGTTTATTCCATTGAGTTTTTCCTCTCTTTTTTTGTTTTCTATTTCAATTATTTCTGCTCTTTATTATAATTTCCTTTCTCTTGCTCACTTGAGCCTCAACTTGCTTTTTTTTTCCTCAAAGTTTCTTAAAGTAGAAGCTTAGACCTTTGATTTTACATCCTTCTGCTTTTCCATCATAAGCAACATGTATGAAAATGGTTTTCAGGTTTTGGACAATAGGCAGCACAGGAGAGTAATTCTAGAAAGAACAACAATTTATTTAACAGTAATTATTTTTAAGAATTTGAAAATACATTAAAGTTAAACTTTATTATTACCACCTAAGATGCTAATACTTTGGCTTAAGACAAATTATTCTACTGTTTTAGTGTAAATGATGTATACTCATTCATTAACTAGAAATTAGAACTATTAACATTAGGTGAACATCATTTTCAGGAAATTTTCCTCTTTATTTTTTTAAAGTTGAGACAAAGTCTCACTCTTGGCACCCAGGCTGGAGTACAGTGGCACAATCACTGCTCACTGTATCTCAATTTCCTGGGTTCAGGTGATCCTCCCACCTCCACCTCCTGAGTAGCTGGGACTGCAGGCACATGCCACCACACCCGGCTAATTTTTTTTTTTTTTTGTGGAGATAGGTTTTGCCATGTTGCTCATGCTGACCTCAAACTCCTGGTCTCAAATGATTTGCCTACCTCAGCCTCCCAAAGTTCTGTGATTACAGGCATGAGTCACCATGCCAGGCCTTCATTATATAAATATATTTTAAAATATTCTTATATGGTAAAGAAGAGAGATTTTGGAAAGCTAAGTTGTTAGAATCATTTTTAGTTATTTTAAATCCATGTTGCAGCTATAGAGAGAATCAGTGTATTTCTTAATGAGAAACATGAGGACATTATTAATTCCACACTTCTTTTCATCTCTTTCTTCCACTTTTTTGTTAGATTGATTGATTGGTTGATTGATTGATTTTTGAGACAGAGTCTCACTCTGTTGCCCAGGCTGAGGTGCAGTGGCACGATTTTGGCTCACTGCAACCTCCATCTCCCCAGTTTACGCAATTCTCATGCCTCAGACTCCCGAGTAGCTGGGATTATAGGCAAGTGCTACCACACCTGGCTAATTGTTTTTTTAGATTATTCAAAACTTATAACATTTCCATTCTGTTTTGTAACTCATATTGCCAAAGTTACCTAATACTGGTTTTGTTGAATGTATTGTCTACCATCAGCCTGTTTACCATAGTTTCTCTATTCCTGAGTTCTTTATTTATATTCATCTTCTTCTATATGTCTGGCTTTTGTTTTCAGTTATTCACAGAATATTTTTGTGGTTTTTTTATTCACCTTCTCATGTTTGAAAATGTCCGAAGATTTTCATTTTCTCTCCCACACCTCTTTCTGCTATTTAGTTGGAAGAAGAAACAAATAAATAAACCTACCAAACTTATTTCTCTCTCTAGATTTGAGAATTTTCATCAGAATTTTCAGGATTTTGTTAGTTTTTCCAAGGGACTGCTGCAAGGTAAGGCAGGATTCAGTCAAGCGTGTGCCTCTTGACCCTGCTGTACGGTTTTCTCCTTTATCATCAGTCGTAGACCCCAGTACACCTGTGACTTGTGTGGTTGGGCTCATAGAAGCATTTTTTTGTTTTTTTTTACCACGTTACCATTGGACAGCCTGCAATTTATAGCACATGTATTGTTTAGTGAGATTGTGTAAAGGACCGTATCTACATTGTCCACTCCCATATGGGCTTGAGATTAGTATATTTGGTATTACTAATTCATGTACCACCTCTCATACCTGTGGTAACAGTTCAATGAATTTTAAGACACAGTCACTTCTTTAGTATAGCTCCTAGTTTTTACTTGCTAGATAAGTCATGTGCTTTTATTCTGTCTCCAGATTATAGAGGTGTGGTAGACTTTCAGGATGTTGTTTGTTCTCTAGTCTGTCTGTTCAATGTACCACTCTTCTAAGGCAAAACTTTAAAATTGTGATTTCACAGTTTGTACCTATTTTCATGCCTAGAGATGTGATGCATTTATTGTTTTTTGTATAGACATGGTTATACCTAACACAAAGTATTCCATAGAAAAATGGGCAAAATAATAGAAAAACAGAATAGAGACCCTGAACAATAATCATTCATAAAGATTGTTCAACCTGATACTTCATCAGGATCATGCTGTATAAAGCAACTGAAATATTCTGTGCCAATCAGAGTAGCAAAAATAACAAAATCTGAGGTATCAAGAGTTGGTGACGCTTTTATTACTATGGGATTGATGAAAGACAAAATAATTGGTGAGGATATGGAGAAAAAGGACTCATATGCTGGTAGTGGGAGTATAAATTGGTAGAACCACTTTTGAGAGCAATTTGTCCTCTCAAATTCCTCAAATTATGTACAGAAATAACTACTCCACCTCTCAGAAGTTCCATTTCAGGGTTTATGTCCTAGGAAGAACTCCTTCATAGATCCCAAGAATATATTTGAAAGAATTT